TATGTGTATATATATATATATATATATATATATATATATATACACACGTATGCGCACATTTTTTAAAATTTATCAAAATTTAATTTAGATATTTATGTATGCTTTTAAAACCTTTCTCGATATAATGCGTTCGGCCATTATCATTGCTGCTGCTGCTGCTGTTGCTGAAAGAAATCCTAGTTTCGCATAAATAAGCAAATGAAAATGTAAAGACAATTGGTTAAAAGTGAATTTCTTTTTACGTTCATATATTGTCGTTATTTATTAAGTTCAAGAGAGGATAACTTACATTTGCATTGAGCTATGATACATATTATGTACATCGTCGTTCAGCAAGTCTCGTTTCATACGATTATCGTTTGACTTCGCTGCTACTGCGACCGGGAATAATGATAGAGACATTGCTGTCCCCAATGTAGAACTTACAAACATCTTAAAGCTATGTCATTAGTCTATTATCTTCAGGCTGCAGGACGAAAGTTGTTTTCTCGAGAAGGGAATTTCTTTTTCTCCTCTGCAACCAGTTATGTATTAGAGTTGAAATAAATATTCGAATAAATTATGGTTTCTCGATTGAAATTAATATAGCGGCAGCGAAAATAATCTATTGAGAACGCCACTAATTAACCCTGCACGGCATGCCAACATAAACTAGACAATTTCTTTCTATAATTATTAATATTTCCTCGCCGTTCTTACCAGAAAAAATCCATCTATCATATTTGATAAATTATAACAATGATATATATTTAAATGTTTCATATTTATCCTGTCTTGTCTTAAATATAAAATTATTAACGTATCACAAGGATGATGCGAATATTCCTAAAGCTATTCTCAAATTTTAAGAAAATATTTTTAAAAATCCGCAAAATTATTTCGATTCTCTGAAGCTTAAATGAATTATTCGGATTAAAATATCGTTCAATGCCTGTTGTGCAAATAACGAGTACGCATTATGATGCAGTATAGGATTGATAAACGCGACCAGGCTCGAGACTGTAAAAAGAAAATAGTGGTCTCACTCGCCTGACTAGAATATCAGCAACGCGAGCAAATGTAGGGCAACTTTTAACGTCCGTGCAGCCTCTCTACTTCGAATATTGAACCTCGTCATACGGGTATACATAGCTACATGTAAAATATCTCGATATCCCTATCGACTCGTTACCTTAAATTTACGTACGCTAGTGATATTACGCCTATAATCCGACCAAACGTGTTACTCAAAAATCCGCTCGTCCCGGAGCGACGGTACGAATTTCGTACAAATTATGCCGAAGTGACTTCCTAGTCGTCGTTCACGCAACAAAGTAATCGTTATTTTTTTCTTGATGTACTTGATGTACCAACTTCTTTTATTTTTTCTCTTTCTTTCTTTCTACTTTTCCTTCACAATCTACTATATTACAAAGTTCGGAAGCAAAATGTACAGGCTCATTTATACGCTCTTATCTTTAAGGACAGAAGAAAATAGTTCATCACGCGTGGACCGACTTGTTAATTAGCGATGTTCACGACTCTTGACGCTCGTTGACGATTGACGACGGAACTGGACAGTGGGATGGGATGAAGGAGTATAAAATATCTAGCGATTCATATATGTATATGTATATAGAAAATCGATACCTCTTAATTTCTCTAGTGCCTCTTAATCTATTCTTTCTAAGCTCACTTTGGAAGGTGATCGCGCCGTGACATGCGTTTTAAAGTCATTACAATGATTCAATGATAATTCATATCAAATGTTGTTTAAAATGCATTCTCGATGAAGATGACACTTCTCTTAATCGAAAAATCTCTGATAGAATCGATTAGTTTGTGCAGTTTGTTGTAATTTTTTAAGTTTCAATTGAAACAGTTCTGAATATTAAGCGTTTAAATTTTTAGAAGACAAATCTGAACACAATACATCTCTTAATTAATTTAAAATTCAATTGTAACGCATGAATGTATATTTTTTAATGTATCTACAAAAAAATATTAATTTTCAAACAGAGATCTTGCCTTTTATCAATCGCAGTATACAATATCTGAAATATTTGTAAAAAGATTACAGGATAAATTGTATTTATGTTTATATCATCAGTGTGCGTTTATGGTACGAGAGCCTTCCAATTGTGGCGATTCGTATCCGTCATCCGCTACTTTAGTGTCACAGGTCGATTACAGCTTACATATTCTTATCGCTAACTCTTTGATTAATATTTATCCACACGTACCCATTAATAAATTTTTGTTTAGCGCATTGAAGTACAGTAGCGAATGTAATTCGAAATTTATGTAGCTTTATGCTGAGAAGGATATTGAATTGTTCTACATTAGCTCGACATAAATTTTAATCGAGTATAAACTGGGTCTAGATTGTATGTTAGAGATCCCGGATTCGATTCCCGGCAGAGCCAAAATATTTACGCTCGTCTCCTCTCGGAAGGCAATGGCAAATCACCGAGAGTAATTTTGCCTAATACATCTCTCTACTAAAAATTTGCCGTTCGGAACCGGCAAACTGTAGGTCCCATATATTTGTGTATAATCATCGTGCGCACCACAGGTATATGAGAGAGATCACCACATTCGGAGCAATAGGACTGAGAAGATTGTATTTAGTTCAGGTCCATTTATTCGATTTGATCAGCTTTGTTTATCTTCGACTGTACTACAATGCGTTATTTATATTTCGAGTAAGAGGAAGCTCGCAGAAAAAAAGAAACAAGATAGGCTCTTGTCTCGAAGCTATATATCTATCTTCGATGCACGACACTTCGAGTTTCTCAAGTACCCAAGTGATCAAAATTCCTGAAACTCGAACTTGCGATGTCAAGAATATTATAGGATAATGTACAAATTATTCTTTTATCGTCCATCATAAGAGGATAGCGTGCAAAATAAGTAACGAAAAATTAGTACAATATTGCACAGAGGGAGAAAGAAATAAGACAGGAATGATCAAAATCAATATTGCAATATTATCTAATTAATATTGAACAATAAAGTACATTAAAATACATATATAAAATAAAAAATTTGTAGATCATGTAATATGTAAATAATTTGTACTTTATTATTAAATATTAATTAGACAGTAACATATGTTGCAATTTTAGTTTTAGCCATATTTCTTTTTATTTTTTCTCCCTCTGTTTCCTCGGTGCATTGATTGCGAATAATTGATTGCGTTACCTTTTACGGTATAATAAATAGGATCAGACATTCAGGTAGTTCGTCGTTTTGATTCATTATAATTGGCGTGATTGCAAAGATTTGATGATTTAATGATAATAACATCGCATTCAGTGAACATATAAAACTCTTCCCAGCAGTTACAAATTTTTCGCTGCAAATTATAGAATTTACAATTAAAAGTTCAATGTTAAATCTATGATATTCACTAGAAAAGATCATATTCATATATTATAGAATTCATATATTAATAGAATATAATTACAAAAATTCTGCAACATATGCAACCTTAAAAATTAATTGCTCGTAGGTTGCAAGATGTCATATGTTTGCATTGCTGTATATTATATGCATAACTAGAATAAAAACAATTCGTTAAGAAAAGCTTCTTAATTCTTCAATTGTCAAAAATCGTCTGAAATAAATATAGAAGTAAAACAAACTAAACAAATATATTAAAATTTAGGAATAATCCTTTTCTAATTTTTAAAGAATAATTTAAAAAATTATGTTTCTATATTAAAAGATAAAGATAAAAATATAAAAAGTAATATAAAGAGTAATAAAAGGATAAAAAGGAACAAAAACAAACAGAAAAAGAATTAAAATAAAAAGATCAAAACAGAGTTAGATTTGCAAGTTGAACGAGGACATCACAGCCAGGAAGAGCTTCCAGATAAAAATTTTCGCGAGCTCTACAAAACCGATCCGCCATCGCTGTTGTTTCGAGGTTGTTGTTCCTAGAGTGGCGAGAGCTTCATGATGTCGCTGTTGAGATCGGTAGACGGCGCGTCATCGTCCAGGTCAAGAGGGCTGCCGTCCGAACCAAGCGAGGAAGAGGGAACCGTCGCCGTCGTCATCGTCGCCGCAACGAACTCATCGAGGAAGTCAAATGAGGCCACCGCCTCGCGCTCCTTGTCCCCATAACGCACGAAGAAATCATCGCCGCGACCGATGATCGATGGCCGGGATGAGCCCCAAGTGGACGGTAGCCGGAGAACGCGATGCGCCTGAGCCGCCGACGCTGAAGAAACCAAGGGCACACAGCAGCGGGTCAACAGATGCTGCTCTCAGACTTCACTCGATTTTGCGCTCTTTTTCTCTCTCTCTTCTCTCTATACCGGCTCTAGCAGACACAGAGTAGCTCGGCTTAGCACTCTCTTTCACGTATTCACGTCTCCCTCTCTCACCCTTTCTCCCTATTGCTCTTTCGTTCTTTCTTTCTTTCCTTTCTCTTTCTCACGCCTCTCTTCTATCCGTCCGTATCATCTCTCTTTCGGCCTTCCACTGTCGCTCCACCGCACCGGTTACACCTCTCTCTTTTGATTTTTCTTTTTCTTTTTATGAAATTTAGATATTTGGCGGGTGCACGACCGAGTGGATGATGTATGATGTATACGTCGGACAAATGTCAATCATGCGTGTAATTATTTTTTTTTGTGTTTGCTATGATAAATTATGCTAAGTTTTTATACAAGTTGAGATACGATTATCTAACCTTGTAGTAAATATATACTGATGATCTAAAGATACATTATATATTAATTTTGAATACTAATAAATTTTGAAATTTACATTTAATTTACCAATTTAAGCGCATTACATATTATTTATCCGACGTATTTATATGACATATTTATATGATGATTATGATTTGCTCGAGAATAATGAGAAATTAATCAAAATTGTACATGTATATGATACTAAAGATGTTACTTCTATAAAGCAAGGAAAAGAAATTTATTTAAAATTGGTTACACTCCTACATGAAATTAAGAATGATGATAATATAAGATTAGTAATCTAATATAGACAGGCGTATAATGAAATGAAGCAATCGAAAAGGAAAATGAAGATGCTAGAACGGTCTTGCACGTGCCAATAAGATTTAGAAATGATCAATTCACTCGCAGTACAACGAGAGAGAAAGTAACTATTTTTAATTTATACCCTGACGCAATTCCACTTGAGGAGCTTTCATATATATAATGTTTATATTTACAGTCTTATATATTGCACAATCGTTCATGTATCTCTTATTTTTGAAAGATATTAAACGACATTAAATTTGCACATTAACTTGCACTCTTGTCTAAAAGTCTTTGGATATTTTGAATTGCGCTGCGTTTTTTTAGATACTCGCACGTTTGATTATCCATACAAAATTAGATATGATGCATTTGAGAAATTGCACTACATTTGATTAGTGTAATCTCCTTCTTTGATTATGTACACACACCTTTTACTATTTTGATTATATATATCGATCTTCATTCATATTTAATGTACCTTTCTTGTATCTTGTCCCAAGACTTTCGGACGGCAGTGTATGTGCCAAGTAGGTCACGCAAATATACGTAAACGAGACGGAGAGATGGAATTGCGTGAAGGCGCTACGCCAGGAACGTTCACTGCCGGTTAATGATTCTGTTAGTATAAACCAATGGTCAGTCCGTTGTGGGCGTAACATGTGGTTCAGTTCAGGACGAAATAGGTTTCCCCGGCGCGGCAATGCATTCCTCCCAATTGGTCATGTCGCTTATAGAAACTGATCGTCACTAAGCCGAACTACGTAGCTTTTCTTGTGACAATCAAAGCACACCGCGTAGGAGCTACCATCTGAACAGAAAATATGGAAAAGGCTATGTACAGCAAAAAGCTACTGAGCGCGAGCGTGAATAGTGACGCCAATTGTACCGTGTTAATTGCGAGTGTCTAAGGTAATTGCGAGAGTAGACAAAACAGTCGCTCAAACGAGTACGTGTATAACTTGACATGTAACACAGTGGCGTTGAATGATTTAGAATGTGTGTGGCGAGAAGAGCCGTCTTAAGCTTACGAGAACAAGCGCTGTTCGCACATCACCTACAGAACTCTCTAAAACATTATCAAGCTCGTTTATTCTAACATTGAGCGACTATACGTGTAAATATAAACGTTAAAATATCTGAATTATCTAATGTATATAATTTTTCTTTGAAATTTAATCTCACATGTACGACCTATTTTTATAAACATGATCCGAAATTTAATTACTAAGGTAATTAATTTCAATATTAAATTTGCTATGTATATTTAAAATTATAGCAGTTTTTTATCTATGAAAATATATAACATAGAAAATTCAGATATTCTTCTTATATAACGTATAGACATCCAACATTGAATTTTTATTAATTAAGTGCTTCAGCTTTAAGGTTTTGCTCATTACCACGCTGGTTGATTAGTAAATTTTGTTAAAATTTTAAATAAAAAGCAAAAATATTAAATAGTTATTAATAGAAAGTGTTAGCTAGAGATTAAGCGCTAAGAATAATAAAGATCGCGTTTAAATTACGCATTTTGCGCAAAGAAGGTGAGTGGTGTGCGCGAAAACGGCACGGCGAAAGTGTCTACGGAATAGATACCCGAAGACGAATACCTTTCTTTTGTCGTCGGTACCGATGTAATCTGTGTAAGTGGCGATAATCAGGTGGTTCATCCCCCGAGTCACTGCCTGCCGAACCGCTGCTCGATGTCGCCGAGGAACTTTCACTGCTTGCTAACATCACGTCTAAGAGATTTGCTCTGGCCTGAATGAAAGTACACGATCAGTGTTGTGTTTATTTTCATGTAAAGACAAAAGCATAATGAGATAAATTATTTAATCACACGCATCATTAGCAAGAATTTTAATCGTAAAGTTTAGCAAATAATTTCGATTTCATTAAGCAATTAGTTTTTATATTCAGAAATAAACCAAAACACGCTTCATCTAAAAATATTATTTTATTATTATTTGTTAGTTAAAATTTAGTCCAGTTTCAGATTTTACATCTTAGAAAGCAATGTACCTTAGGGTCGGTGAAGTCAATGTCACGTTCAACGTGAACCCATCCGGTTGGACAGCAGCAAGCGAGATCCAGTTTTTCAAGATGTACTTGCGACTCATTATTAGCATTATTAGTATTATCTTCGCCCTTTCGAATCATGCGATTTAATTCATCTATAACATCCTTGGACGTAGCACGTTCATGGAAGCTCAATGTTCGATCTCTACCCTCCACGAGAAGCGTTGCTCGTGCTGGACTGACCTACGAATATTGTGCAATCATTATTATAGCAAAACATTTTGTTGAAAATTGAATTACAAAATTGATATATAAATACAAAATTAATCTCTTTCCACAACATTATCTTCACAAAATTAAACAAAAATAAAACATCGAGAAAATTTTACAAATTCTTTCTCTAATAAATAGAGAAATTATTCTTAAAAAAAGAATAAATAAAAATAGCGATATATCGAGTGCTGTTTTATTATTTTTTTGTTTTCGTGCAGACTTGAGAATAAAAACTTACAACTGTACTAGGTGTAGAAGAAGTCGCCGCCTCTTCGTCTTCCTCGGGAACGGCTCCCAATTCCGATGGAGCTACTGTTGTATACGAAATACCGCCATTGCACGACACGGCACTTACAATTCTCTCTTCTGGTGCCAACGGTGGTACCTGTATTTGATCAAGCAACTCGTCGTTGTTGCTCGTTTCAATTGCATTTCCAGTATTCTCCTGAACAGACGATCCTTCTAGCTCTGTGATTTTCGTTTCTCCCATTGAATCATTTTTATTAGTGTCCATTTCTGTAAATCGCGATTTACATTTCTTAATACATTTTCTGTCATTTAATTCCAATTTTTCATTATTACATTTTGGAAAAATTTTTTTAATTTGCTCTTTTATTTCCTTTCTACATAATAATTAGACCAATAATTTTATAAAAAATAGTAAAAAACTCGATATTTTCTGTTCAATTAACGGATACGAATTAACTATAATCACCTTCGGTCGAGTGAGACACATTGTGCGGTTCTACGGGATTATTCGGTAACTCTGCGAGGTACATCTGTTGTTCGGCGATAAAAGATAGAACGCTCTGAAGTGCTTGTTCCCTATCCGGTGGCGGTCTACCACTCCTGGATGACGTGCTAGCCAGGCTTTTGGTACTTTCAAACTTTACTAATCGATAGAAGTCTCTAGTGAAATCCGTGCCGATCGATGGAGTATCGGGATCGTCGCTGCAGCCAGAGAGCGCAGCTGACGAACGCTTGCTCGAATTCTCCAAAGCACCTTCTTCACTGCTCCAGGATGCACCAGGACTTGAGGCATATGGCCAGGGTCCGTTCGCCCTCGCATCCATTAAAAGCGCAACCTGGATAATAAAAAGTTGTAATAAAAAACTGCCAGAATTAATAAACATCTCGAAATAGTGTTTAATTTTATTAAATTTAAGATTTTATAAGTAAAATCAAAACGAATTTAATTATTATTATCTATGTTTCTTAAAATATTAAAATTTTTAACAAACTTTAAAGATTTAAAAAAAAATCAATTATTTTGTAAATTAAAAGTTACTTTGATATCTGCACTCAAGAATTAATTAAACAGCAATAAACTAAAAACTATCAGTGCAGATAATTTTTTATTTTATTAGATTATTAAACGAATGTTAAAGACGTCGATCGATATCATGCGCAATCGACAAACGTACCAGCTCTCCCCCGGCCCTGTCAGCGAGATAACTCGCACCGTTCCACAGACACTCGTTCGCGTCCTCCTCCAATTCTACGAGATTATGCTCCTTGATTGCTGGCAGGGCGGGCGTATTTGTAGTAGCCGGTTGCTCCTTCCACATTGCGGATTCATTTTGTACGAGATCCTCCGTGGACAGAGAGAAACTCCAATCCTCCAACTCCGCCCTGTCGTACTCCAATTCGAGTAGATCTCGGTGCTGTTGCGCGCTTCTACTATCGTCGAGCCTGAAATTCGCGCGGTGATTAATTTCAGCATAATTTCGTCTTTTGATAACATCAGAAATCTATCAGCTCGAGCAAGAGAATACAATGCTATGTTCCTTCTGGTTGTGTAAAATATGAATAAATAAGTTTTCGTTACATTTTACGTATATAACATTCTTAAAATATTTTTTCAAATATAAATTCTAGAATATAATTTTTATCATTATATTGAATCCATAAATTTGAATCGATGTATGATGCGTAGAAGTAACTACATGGCTTATTAGCATTTTTAATAAATCACACAGGTTAACATTAATAAGATAGAAAGAATAAAAAACTTATATCAAAGAGTCATGTTTCCAGTCTCATATACTCATTTCGCTTTTACATTTCCTTAGTCAAATCCAATAATATAACCCAACAATTTGAAACGCCTTTTAAAACATATACAAGAAGCAAACCTGAGCCATTGTTGCACGTACTCGGCGTCCCAGCCTTCCTCCTCCACTAACAAAAGGGAAGATGAACCCATAGGACTGGGTAGCTTGTACGGTGTAAAATTAGCGGTGGTGGTGAGCTTAAGACAGAGGTGGCTGTCTGAGAAGCTGCGCATTACATGTTGATAGGGTAGTAGATCTTTAGTCGGTGGATAGCTATGACGTGGATTGATGCCTACGGTGAGATTCAGAGGTAGGAAAAGAACGTCCGGATCGCCAGTGTCGAGAGCAACAAGACGCGCGTCCGGCGACACGTCAGCCTCGGTCTCGTCGGTGGCTTCTTTCAGATCTTCAAGACCGCGCGCGGACGGTTCCTGACGCGTGCCTTCACCCTGGACGTCGCTCGACATGGTCGAATAGCCCTCGTCGCGATTACCGCTCTCTGGGCTTTCGCTACCCTCCTCTTCTGACGGTTTTTGTGCTATAAAGGATTCAGTTTCGAACAGTTTCGAAAAGTAAACGACTCATAGTTTTGATTTGTCTCGTTAATTTACATTATATTATTAATATAGTATTAATATCATTAAACAATAGAGATATTTTAAGAATAAAAAAATTTCGAGAGAGTTTAAATTACGTTTGATTCCACGACAAACGTGTTAATCATGATGATAGACGATCAATACCAAGAGGCCTGCTGCGTCGGCACTTAGTGGCTGCCATCACGGGTATCTGCAAGTTGAGGGAACGCGGCCTCGAGAGAGGGACCCAGGCAGGATCCAAACCCAGGGCGGCGACTAGGGCGGCCGGGCCAGCCTCGAGGATTCCTTGTATAAGTTCGGTAGGGCTTCCAGGACTGGCAGCCTGCGCCAGGAGTCCTGACAGCGCTCGATTCTGAGCCTCAAGCTCTCGTATACGTCTCTGCAATGCGCCTATTTCTTCCCTGAGACCCTGAAAACAATCCGCTGACTATCAGTACTCTTACCTAATGTAATCGTGTGTTGTTTCATAAAGCGTATTAGCGGGCAGGAAGAAGCGTGTTAGCGGCGAATTAATTTTTTCAAAAAAATTTTTTAAATAAAATTCTAATATTAGATAATTAAAAATGTACTTCCTAGACTTATAAAATGTACATAATTTTTCAAGTTTTATTTTGCATATTTTTTTCTAAGATATCTATCTTAGAGAGAATAAATAAGAGTATTGAGTATTTCGTTATACTCTATTATTTTGTAGATTTTTGAAAAAAAAATTGATGTTCCCAAACGAATTATTATTACTCTTTTAAGCATAAAAGATCCTGAATATTATTATAAAATTTCGAAAAAGCTGAAGACCGACGCGAACAAATTTTGTATTCTTTTGTATTTCTTTGAATAATCTAAAATCAAACAAAGTCGTACATTTCCAATAACTTCTGTCTTTAAAAAAAAATCTCTCCAGAGTCACGCTTGAAGAAACTTTTCTTGCGGAATTTTCCAGATAATTCTGAAGTTCATATGCAAATTCTTTCATATGAACAATACAGCATTCTATATGTACAATAGCCATCTTCTTCGCTGATGCCAGCTATTAGGAAAGGACAAGAATAGACAAAATGAGAGAGAGAAAGAGAGAGAGATAGAGAGA